AGTGCAGATAAAACTTATATTTATTATTAACAAACTAAAAGCTAAAAATAAAACAGTCTTAAACACAACACCTTCCTCCCACTTCTCTTTGCCTTCTTTTCTAAGTCCTTCCTCCTCTCTCCCCCAGAGCTGCAGGGGATCGGGGCGGGGGAAGGGGGGTTGCAGTCAGAGTATTGTTGTTTTCCATTCCTTGGGTAGCAGAAGTTTTTATAATCAGTTCTTTGCAGTCCAAAGATCTTCTATGGCTACAAGGGGACTCTCATATTATCATAGTCTTTACCACAGGCTACAGGGGAAATAATGGCTCTAAGTCTTTCCCCTGTTTCTGTGGGGGTCCCTTCCCACGGGAGACAGTCCTTGATAGAGCTCTCCAGAGGGAGTTCATCCACCTCTCAGGCAACACTTATTTTCTTTTCAATCTGTTGCCCCCTGGATGACTCCCCAAGGGGGTGCAGTCCTTCATGGGTTGAACTGTATCGATGTGGGTCTCCCCCCAGGGCTACAAGTCCTACCTGGGAAAACTTGCTTGCACACGTGGGCGTCCCTCTCCATGGGCCACAGGTCTCCAGCAGGACTTCGCTCCATCTTAGGCCTCCCACAGGGTTACAGCTTCCTCCATGTATCTACTTGCTCCTGCATGGACTTCTCCATAGGCTGCAGGAAGGTTTCTGCACCCTGAAGGTCTTTCATGGGCTGCAGGGGCTTCAGCTTTGCCCTGTTTCTGGGGAAGAGGGTGGGAAAAGCTCCCCCTCTCCCCCCCCCACCTCCAGCTGCAATGACCTTGGTGACTGCTTGCTCTCTCTAGGACTAGAATTTTTTCTGCCACACAGCCTTCTCTTCCTTTGTTCTTAAATATGTTATCACAACCTTGGCCAGCAACAGGAAAGTCCCTCCTGGAGCTGGCTATCATTGGTTTTTTTTTCATAAGACAGTGAAACTTCTAGAAGCTTCTAACTGAAACTACCCCTATGGCTTCCCTACTACCAAAAACCCAGACACCTGAACCCACAACAGATTCCCTCTTCTGCAGGTTTTCCCTCAGTAAGTAGGCAGATCCATGCATTCTCTGGAGGAATATGCAACTGGACAGAGTCTTTGGAAAAGTTAATTCTGCATTTAACTTGCATAGCAAATCCCACCTGAGCAGTGGCAAAGGACTCCTGCATATAGAGAAACTGGTATGTTAATTTTGTGTTTCCAGTTGTGAATTCCATTGGTTGTAGAAATGGTCTGAGGGATTTCCTTCCCATCACACCAACATCTACTTTCATTTTACTTAAAGGTCCCTTACAGCTAGTAACTACAGAATAAGTTGCTTCAGTATCCACTAGAAAATCTATTGTTTTGATGCCTCAGAGCTTTTTTTTGATGTTGTAACTTTTATAGATTTTAGAAGTAGCTGTGTAATAAATGTAGATTTTAATGTAACTGCATTATATCCCTTACCCTTTATCAATCCCTCTAAAATTCTGTTAGCGTGTTTAGTATTCTTTTCATGGTAGAATTCTAGAAAAACACCTTAAGGCCTGGACCAGAAGATATCACACAGATGCAGTGACCTTCAAGCCCAGAACTTTGGAGGAATTCCAAGGACTGTACATACTGCGAAGAAGATAAAGATGAGGAAGAAGGGGTCCCAAACACCCCCAGACTCAATTCCCAAAGGAGCGTATCGGGGGGCAGAATGGGGTAGAACTGAGGGTGGACAGAGTTGGGATTGGTTGGACCTTATTATAAAATCATAGAACCACTGCCTGGGCATGCGCACATGGTATGTATTCCTCTAGGTCTACGGTCTCATTAAAGGACCTGCTCTCTTTATCTTATACACTGAATTGGCCTGGAGTCTTTTTCTCCATGGTTTTTTAGGCAAGAGTTTCATTCCCCAGCTTAATTGGAACCAGAGGATTGGTTGGGGAATCAGCAAGAGATGCCTCTGGTCCCCTTCAGTCCAACCCAATTTCTGCCATAATTCCTGCCTCTTTTTTGTTTTTCCTTTTGTTCATTTGTGAGTTGGGGGTACTCCATTTTCCAGTGCCCTTCCTGTCTACAATAGGCACAGTGATCTTTTTGGAGGGGTGTTAACCCACACCTTCACCCTCTGCCTCTTCCCTACCCTTGCACGTCAATCAGGGCGGCTAGCAATTAATTCTGTAATTTAGCTTAGCTCTTTTTCTCCCTCTCTTCGGCCTCTTTCCTGTTGTTATATACTTTATATACAATAGACATCAACTGTGAAATAGCCATCCCCTCTACTCCTTCTATCTTTTGGGGTTTCTTTCTAATGTCTGGTGCAGACTGCCCAATAAAAAGCATTTTATACAGCATCCTGCTTCCTTCACTTTCTGCATCTAAATCAGTCCATTAACAAGCTACTTCACACAATCTTTCATAAAAGACTCCTCCCTGCTTCACTTCATTCAACTTGGCAAGGTTTTTTGGTTTCTCCACTCCCTTCTGGATTCCATACAAAATCAATTTCTTATATAATTTTAATGAATCTAGCCCCACACTCTGATTGGGATACCACTTTGGGTCATCCTTAGGGAGAAATTCATCATGATTTGGAATGCTCTGAACATTTTGATCTAATCCTTCTATTTTCCTAATTACTCATTTCTGAGCCTTTTCTAAAACTGCCTGCCATTCCTCATGGGTAAAAAAATATTCCAGGAAAGCCTGGATGTCCCCCAAGTTTGGATTATGAGTTAACATCATGGTTTTAATCATACTATACATTCCATTGGCATTACTGTGATATGACCCTGCTTGCTATTTCCAGTTCAGTGATGCCGAAATTTTGCCCCAAAAGGCACGGAGAAACTGCTTTAGAGACAAAGTTTGTTTCTTTAAAGCAGGAGGTATTTTATTGCAACGCGTTGGGGAGCTCTCCAGGTCGCCCTGGGCAAAGAGCTCCGTCGTGTATAATCAGCATAGCTCTTTTATACAGTTTTCGAATATAGGATTACAACATAATCATGCATATTCATTAAATTGCAACATCTAGTTGTAATATTCATATGAAGGTGGAGTCTGGGCGGAGTCTTCAATTTGGGGAGATTTCACGGTGGGAGTTCCTGTTGCCTTCCTCTGGGCGGGGGTCGTGTGTGAGTCTTCCTCACTGTAAACTTCTGAACTTTCTTTCGATCTTCTCCTTTTAAGGCAGTTTTGGCAAACACAATAAGGTCAGGCTGACTTTTGGCTCATCCTACGATTTGCTGAGTTGCTATCTCTGTGAGGAATGCAGCTATCTCTCTAGGACTGCTCTAGGATTCGCTGAGTTGCTATGTCAAGGACTGCCTAGTTTCCTAATGTTAAGGTTTTGAAATTTCTCTTACAATTTTGTGTTAACCTTTTATGTTTCAAAGTTTTAAGTGAGTGGCTTCATTTTCCCCCTTTTCTTATAACTTACGAATTCTTTCGTCAAGTTTTAATCTCTAAGGGACGTTGGTAAGATTGGATCATTGCCTAAAGTGTTTGGGTTTTTGTCATTAAGGATTTCAGTCTGCTCCATAGGTATATGTTTGTGAGTGTTAGTAAAGCATAGCTATGGTTATGATTAGTATTGGGTGCACAAGGTAGTGGAATACTTGAGTTGCTGTTGGGGAATGCCCTGTAAAAATATCCCACTAATGGTAGTGCCATGTCCATATTCACACAGGACTTTTACTCAGGGGCTTGGTACCCTATCTGCAGATGCTGGTGTTTCGCTTGTTTCTTCCTCTTGCTTATTCTCCGGAGCTTTCTTGACTCGTGAGTAATGAATCCATGTAGGTCGCTCTTTGATCCGGACCGCGGTGAAGGTGGTCAGCAGAATTTGGAAAGGTCCTTCCCACTTTTCTTGTAGGGGTTTTCCTAAGAGATTCTTAACATATACCCAGTCACCGGGGTTGAACGGGTGTAATTTACAATCAGGCTGTTTGGGTTGATGTTCTATCACCACAGCTGTACTTTTATCAAAATGTTTCCCTATAGTGATTACATAATCATAAATGTACTGATTACCTATTTGGTCTACAGCATCTCCATTTACAATCTGCATAGCATAAGGTCTTCCATACAGAATTTCAAATGGACTCAATTTTTCTTTTGATCTTGGTTTGACTCTCAGTCTAAGTAGAGCAATAGGCAAAGCTTGATACCACTGTAAATTGGTTTCCTGGCATATCTTAGCAATTTGTTGTTTAATCAGGTGATTCATCTTTTCGACTTGCCCACTAGCCTGAGGCCGGTAGGGCGTATGTAACTGCCACTTAATTTGTAATGCCTTGCTTATTGCTCTTACTACTTTTGCACAAAAATGCGTACCTCTGTCTGAAGATATACTTCTCGGTACCCCAAATCGGGGTATTATTTCGTTTAATAAAACCTTGGTTACTTCTCTTTCTTTATTTGTCCTACAAGGGAATGCTTCAGGCCACCCAGAAAATGTGTCAGTTAATACTAATAAATATCGAAACCCCCCTTTTCTTGGGAGTTCTGAAAAATCAATTTGCCACACTTCACCTGGGAATTTACCTCGATTTATGGCTCCCTGATGTACCTTCGTCCCAGTATTTGGGTTATTCTTTAGGCATCGCTCACATTGAGATGTGACGTATTTTACTGTAGTAAAGAGTTTTGGTCCTGCTATTCGGGTTTGTAAATATTGATAGAGTGGGTCCAAGGCCCAATGGGCTTTTTCATGTTCTGTCTTTACAAACTGCCACATTAATTTTTCAGGTATTATTAGTTGACCTGTTTCTAACTGTCCCCACCCGTTGTCTAACAATTTACCCTTGTTCTTTTTAATCCATCTTTGATCTGATTCTTGATAATTTGGTTGAAAATCTGTATCTAATTCTCCCGGTATTAAAGCTGTTATGGTTATTTCTTCAGTTTTTGCAGCAGCTAATTTGGCTTCTGCATCTGCCTTCCTATTCCCTATTTCTGGAACTGTGTTACCTTTCAGGTGTCCCTTACAATGCATTATGGCCACCTGCTCTGGGAGTTGGACCGCTTCTAACAACCTTAGAATTTCTTCTGCATGTTTGATTGTTTTCCCCTGGGCAGTTAATAGTCCCCTTTCTTTCCAAATTGCTCCGTGAGCATGTACGACAGAGAAAGCATATTTAGAATCAGTCCAAATGTTAATTCGCATACCTTCTGCTAATTCCAGGGCTCGGGTAAGAGCAATCAGTTCTGCCTTCTGGGCCGAAGTCCCTGCAGGTAGGGGATTTGATTCAATTACCTCTTCTGTTGTGGTCACTGCATAGCCTGCCATTCTTACTCCTTGCCTCACGAAGCTGCTGCCGTCCGAGAACCAGTTGTCCGCATCTTCAAATGGTTCCTCCTTGAGGTCTGGACGACTGGAATAGACTGCCTCGATCGTTTCCAGGCAATCATGTTCGAGGGGTTCTGCCGGAATTCTTCCTTCTAGAAATGAAGCTGGGTTGACAATATTAGTTACTTGAATGGTTACATCATCTGATTCAGCTAGGATGGCTTGATACTTTAGGAATCTTGAAGGCGATAACCAATGGTTACCCTTTTGTTCCAGCACTGCTGAGACAGTATGAGAGACCAACACAGTCATTTTCTGGCCCAGCGTAAGCTTTCTGGCCTCTTCTATGTTGATAATCACTGCGGCCACTGCTTTTAGGCACCCAGGCCAGCCTTTGCTTACTTCGTCCAATTGTTTGGAGAAATAAGCTACAGCTCTCTTATGTGGTCCCAACTGCTGTGCTAGAACTCCCAGAGCCATCCCCTGCCGCTCATGGGAGAATAACCAAAACGGCTTAGTTACATCTGGAAGACCCAAGGCTGGGGCTTTCAAGAGTTCTTGTTTCAGTCTTTTAAAAGCTCCTTCTGCCTCGGGAGTCCAGGTTAAGGTACTCGTAGTCCCTTTTAGTAAGTCATATAGTGGTTTGGCAAGTATTCCATATTGATGAATCCATAATCAGCACCATCCTGTCATTCCCAGAAAGGCCCGCAGATCTCTTACCGTTTCTGGTCTGGGCATCTGACAGATGGCTTCTTTTCTTGCTGTGCCTAGAGATCGTTGTCCCCTGGAGATTTCATACCCCAGGTATATCACCTTTTCTTGTACCAGCTGTGCCTTTTGTAGAGAAACTCGATATCCACTTAAACCCAAAAAGTTTAGTAGAGAAATAGTCCATTCAATGCACTCTTCTTCTGTTTCAGTTGCTACTAATAAATCATCTACATATTGTAGAAGGGTACCATTTCCCAGTGGCCTTTCCCATTGTTCTAATTCTTTGGCCAATTGGTTTCCAAAAATTGTGGGACTGTTTTTATATCCCTGCGGTAACACAGTCCAAGCTAGTTGAGTCTTTCTCCCTGTTTTAGCAGATTCCCATTCAAAAGCAAAAATTTTCTGGCTTGTCAGAGCTAAGGCTAGGCAAAAGAATGCATCTTTTAGGTCTAATACTGTGAACCATTTTAAATTTTCCCTCAATTTGGTTAGAAGAGTATAGGGATTTGCTACGACCGGGTGTAAAGTTTTTGTAATTTCGTTCACTGCCCTTAAATCTTGGACTAATCTATATGTCCCATTCGGTTTCTTAACAGGTAGGATTGGTGTATTAAAATCTGATTCACACTCTACCAATAATCCTAGTTCCAGAAATTTCTCTATTATTGGTTCAATTCCCCTTCTATCTTCCAACCTCAGCGGGTATTGTTTTCTTACTACCGGTTTTGTTCCTGGTATTAACTCAATATTGATAGGAGCTGCTCGTTTTGACCTTCCAGGTACATCAGTAGCCCATACTAGTGGGTATACTTCACTCATAATGCGTTCAATGCTATGATTTTCAGGTTTTGGTTCTATATAGCTGATTGTCAAACTTAAAGCTGCTATTAGTTGTTCATCATTTACTTGAAATTCAAGTTTATCTTTATTGAATTTTATTACAGCCCCCAAATTCTCTAATAGGTCTCTACCTAGTAGAGGCTTTGGAGAATTTGGTAAATACAAAAATTGATGAATTCCCATTTGTTTTCCAATTTTGTATTTAATAGGTTTTAGAAAGTAGGCTCTTTCTGGTTGGCCTGTCGCTCCCACGACCTGTACAAATTCATCACTTTTGGGTACCAATTCTTGATTCAAAACCGAAAATGTTGCTCCTGTATCTATTAAAAAGTTTAATTCTTTTTCACCTTCCCCTAGCTCCATTTTAACCAGTGGGTCTGCTAGGGAACGACTCACCGGTCCCCCTCATTCACTGTTTTGATGTGCAATGGTAGCGATTGCAGGTTTCTCTCCTAGCAGAGGACAATCTCGTCTCCAATGTCCTATCTGCCAGCAATTAGCACACTGATTTGGTTTTATCCCAGGCAGATGGGGTTGAGATTCTCTTTTCCCACTCCCTTTTGCTGGGTAACCTCTACCTCTGCCTCTGGTATTGAATTGTGGAGGCTTTACATTGGGGGCTGCTACTGCTGCTGCCACTATTCGAGCAAACCCTTTTATCTTCCTTTTTCTTCTCTTCTTTATCTCTGTTGTTATACACTTTCCAGGTCTCGTTCATCAATGTTTCTAGGTTTCTATTTTCTGGGTGCTCAAGCTTTTGCAATTTCTCCCTGATATCTGGGGTGCATTGTCCCATTACTAACCCCAATAACTGTTGCTTCCCTTCTTCCGATGCTGGGTCGAGGGGTGTATACTGTCTCATAGCTGTCCTAAGTCTGTCCAGAAATTCTGAGGGGGTTTCAAGCCATAAGTGGTGAATGGCACATGCACATACACTACCTTCCCCTCAGGTCCGACTGCCTGCCTTAAAGGTGCTTGTAACACCAACTTATCTTTTCCTCTGGTCCTACTAGAAACAGGGGTTGCATCAAAAACAACTTCTTCATTGCTAGATTCACTGTCGACTTCCTACTTTTATCCTTACCTTGGAGGAGCTGCCAATAATTGTACTTCCTCTTCTGAATTTTTGTCTTTTTTATCTTTTCATCTCACACAAGAATCTTTACCCTCATCTATTTTCTTTTTTCATTAACCTAAGAATATATTCCATTTTGATACTTTGAATCTACTAAACCACATTTTTTATTACATCCAAATCATTTCTTTAAGCAAAAAAAAAAAAATATTCTAAAAGGGATTCTATCCCATTTGTTCTACCTCCTACAAAATAACATCAACTGTAAAAATGAATTATATTTCAAAGATCCATTTTTCACCATCATCTAATTTATCTTGAGGCCACCATTGATTACAATATCTTTTCAATTAATCTTGAGTCATAGAGTCACCCCAAATTTATTCCAATTCTTTAGAATGTATCCAAGGGGAGAGCAAAGGGGAATTTCTATAGAAGCAGGTGAACCCATTTCAGTACCAAAATTTCCAATATTTCATAAGCTATCTAAATGCTCACGCCTCAAAACCAAGTTTTCACACTACCAACTCTGAATGTAAAAACGTGTGCTAAATACATTGTGTGAAAATGTGTGAGACAAATATCAAAAATCCAAGATGCATACCTGTGCTGGTTTAAAGGCAAACCAGCAGGAGAAATGAACCCAACTCAAAAGAGATTATGAGTCAGAATTACAATTTCATTAAAATAATACAATAAATACAATTATACAGATGAACAATTGGTTTTAATCCACAAAAAAACAGACGTATAACTTGGCACCCTGGGGCACGAACAGAATGGTGTTCTTTGGCCCCCGTTCTGAGCCCCACGTGGGCCCCCTGAATTAAAAAAATAAAAGGAGAGGAATAACCTGTTGGTGCGAGTGATGGTCGCAGTCTGGTTGAGAGTGGTGGTTGCAGTCCGGGCATTTGGAATTGCTGCTGTGGAGACAGAAAGAATTAAACAATTGAACACTTTGTCTGGTCTGTCAGAAACCCCTTCTGTTTTAGGACTCTTGAAGGTGGAAGAACAGCAGGTGCCAATTGCCACCACAACAGTGCATTGCCAACAGTACCAAACAAATCAAGACTCTGTGATTCCCATCCACAGGATGATTAGTGAACTGGAGAGTCAAGGAGTGGTCAACAAGACTCACTCACCCATCATTGAGTGCCTCTGTGCCAGACATGTTGGAGCTTTAGTATGAATTGGAGTCCAAGGCAGTAAAGTGATGCCACCATTGACATTGCTAATATGTTTTTCTCCATTTCCCTTAGCAGCAGAGTATAGGTCACAGTTTGATTTCACCTGGAGGGGCATGCAGTACACCTGGAACTGAATGCCCCAGAGTTGGAAACACAGTCCCACCATCTGTCATGGACTAATCCAGACCATACTAGAGAAGGGTGAGTCTCTAGAACATCTGCAGTACATCGATTACATCATTGTATGGGGGAGCACAGCAGAAGAAGTCTTTGAGAAAGAAAAGATCATCCAGATTCTCCTGAAAACTGGGTTTGCCATCAGAGTAAGGTCAAGGGACCTGCCCGAGAAATAAAGTTCCTGGAAGTGAAGTGGCAAGATGGATGCAGTCAGATCCCAAAAGAGGTAATCAACAAGATAACAGCAATGCCCTCACCAACCAGCAAGAAGGAAATGCAAGCTTTCATAGGCACCATAGGTTTCTTGAGGATGCACAACCCAGAATACAGACAGATTGTAAGTCCTCTCTACTTTGTAACACACAAGAACAGTTTCCAGTGGGACCCCAAACAGCAACAAGCCTTTGAACAGCTCAAACAGGAGATCACTCACTCTGCAACCCTTGGGTGAGTCAGAATAGGACCAGAAGTGAAGAATATGCTCTACTCTGCAGCTGGGGATAATGGTCCTTCTTGGAGCCTCTGGCAGAAGGTACCTGGGGACACTCGAGGCTGACCACTTGGATTTTGGAACCAAGGCTACTGAGGGTCTGAGGCCAACTACACCCCAACAGAGAAGGAGATTCTAGCAGCCTATGAAGGGGTTCAAGCTGCCTCAGAAGTGATTTGCACAGAAACACAGCTTCTCCTGGCACCCTGACTACCAGTGCTGTGGTAGATGTTTAAAGGAAAGGTTCCGTTCACGCATCATACCACTGATGCTACATGGAGTAAGTGGATTGCCTTGATCACGCAGTGTGCCTGAATAGGGAGCCCTAATCACCCTGGGATCTTGGAGATAATCACAAATTGGACTGAAGGTAAGAACTTTGGTTTGGCAGATGAAAAGGAAGAAGAACCAGTGGCATGTGCTGAGGAAGCTCCACCATGCAATCAACTGCCAGAAGATGAAAAACATTACACTCTTTTCACTGATGGTTCCTGTTGCACTGTAGGGACAAACCAAAAATGGAAAGCAGACACATGGAGCCCCACACAACAAGTTGCAGAAGCCACTGAAGGAGAAGGTGGATCGAGTCAACTTGCAGAGCTCAGTCATCCAACTGGCCTTGGACATTGCTGAACAAGAGAAGTGACCAAGGCTTCACCTCTACACTGACTCGTGGATGGTGGTCAATGCTCTGTGGGGATGGCTAGACAGATGGAAGAAGGCCAATTTACAACCCAAAGGAAAACCCATCTGGGCTGCCAAAATGTGTTAAGACATCACCGCCTGGGTAGAGAAGCTGATCATGAGAGTTCGCCATGTAGACACACATGTGCTTAAGAGTCGAGTCAATGAGGAACAGTATAACAGTGAACAGGTAGACCAAGCTGCCCGAGTCAAAGTGTCACAGGTAGATCTAGACTGGCAGTACAAGGGAGACTTGCTCCTAGCTTGATGGTCCCATGATGCCTCAGGTCATCAGGGAAGAGATGCCACCTACAGGTGGGCACAAGACCGAGGGATGGATTTAACCATGGAGACTATCTCCCAGGTGTATTGGGTCTAGCTGAGCTGGAGTTCATTTTCCCACAGTAGCCCTTACAGTGTTGTGCTTTGCATTGATAGCTAGAAGGGTGTTGATAACACACCAGTGTTTTGGCTACTGCTG